CCTTGGATCAAGATTCCCTCACCAGTGAAAAATAAGTCAAATTATCAGTACCACAGAGCAAAACCTTAAAACAGAGAAACAGAACCAACTAACAACGAAAATGACAGCAATCCTCAATTTCACATCAACACTATGCCAATACAGTTAACCCCTAATTTTTATGCAGCTACTGGTAACCAATTCTAACCTGTAAAGCCATATTCCTGGCAGAATGAGTGAGCATATCAGCAGATTGTGATCCCCTGTTAACCTGTCTGCAGATGGAGCCCATGTTGTTAACGTTCACTTGAACACGCTCAGCCAAGCGATTTTTGGAGTCCACAAACAGATTCTTAGCGCTGGTACTCGATGCAGATGCCATAACAGACTGGAACCTGTATACACCAAAAATGATAGCATCCCTTTTCATACAAAGCATTGTAGATAAATATGTATTTCTGATAAGAAAAACATCTGATCTACACAATAAGCACTGAAACTTATGAAGCAAATACGTATTATAATACTGATGGTACACTATTCCGACATGTTGATGAATAAGACTCATCTGCAACACTTTGGGTACCTTTATTGCTGAAACATTGCACCTACATGATAGGTGTCTTCACCAGAATATACAACTGAAGACAGTAAAAGTAATTTTGAGGTCATCACCCCCTCAGCTTTGGTAGGTGAGACTGACCACCTTCTACTGACCTCCTCCTATGCACTTGTGCTGCGACTCTTTTTCTTCCACCAACACTTCAAGCATAATGGCCAGACTTCAGTGGTACCACCTGGGTGACCTGTTTCTCTCTCACTTCTTTCCCAGTTTGACCTAAAACAACATTTCCTCCTTTCTTGGCACTCCTTGGAGCCTTGAAACCTTGCTCCCATTATCATATACATACTGTGTATCTTTACATTAAATATAAGAGTAACACTGCTGCATTTACCTTCAAGCCAACTATAGAGGCATCTATATTTAACTTAATTATTGAGTACTGTAGGAATATTCTGGTGGTATTACTACCACAAGAAATATATATCAATGGATGAGCAGAGACAAGTTACACTGAGATTTACCTTACTGAGATCGAGAGTCGAGTATTTTGCATGAAAGCGAGTGTTGCAGATTCCAAGTGGGCTCCCAGGGCCCTTGTGTAGAAATCTATCTCCCATACTTAAAAAAAATTTAAATATACAGTAGGGCTCCAGGGTCAACAGGAAGGGTGGTGGTGTGGCGATGTATGTCAGAGAAAATTTAAATTGTTGTCTTAGACATGATATAAGATTAGAAACATCAAACACAGAATCAGTTTGGCTTCAGTTTCTCGGGGGTCGTGACAAATTAATTTTGGGTGTGATTTATAGGCCCCCAAACCTTGATAGGGAGTGCAGTAAGCTGTTATGGGACGAAATTCATAAGGCATCTAGATATGAAAATGTTGTGATAATGGAAGATTTTAACTTTAGACAAATTGATTGGAACAATATGACAGGAAATCTTGAGTCTAGTGACTTTCTTGATACGGTTCAGGATTGCTTTTTAGAACAGGTTGTGACAGAACCAACTAGAGGAAACAATCTGCTTGACTTGGTTCTTGCCAACAAAGATTCACTAATTAATAATCTTGAGGTTAATGATGAGCTTGGGGAAAATGATCACAAATCACTTAATTTCAATATATCATGGAATTACCCAGATAACTGCAATCAAATCTCTGTCCCAGATTTTTGCTTGGCTGACTTCATGGGACTGAAAAATTACTTGGGTGGGCTAAATTTGGATGTCCTAACTATGGGTCAGGTAGGTGATCTTGGTTGCCAATATGACGTTTTTCAGAGCATAGTTCTAGCTGCCCAGACAACTTTTGTTCCGAGTAGGGAAATTAGATCTAACAAAAATGATCCCAAATGGATGAACAATAAATTAAAACATCTCATTGGTCAAAAGAGAGGCATATATAGGTGTATCAAAAGAGGGAATGGGCAGTTAAGAAATCAATATATTCAATTAAAGAGAGAAATAAAGAAAGGAATAAGAAAAGCAAAAAGAGATTATGAGGCTAAGGTCGAAAGGGATTCAAAGACTAACCCAAAAGGGTTCTTTCAGGTATACAGAAGTAAGATTAGGGACAAGATTGGCTCACTTAAGAGTAACTCTGGTCAGATCACTGACAGTGATAAGGATGTGTGTGAAATTCTAAATACCTACTTCCTCTCAGTTTTCACCCAGGAAAATACTAGCGATATTCCTGAAATAAGAGATTACGTAGAACAGGATGATAATAAACTATGTACGATTGTGGTAACTAGTGACATGGTCCTCAGACAAATAGAGAAACTAAAACCTAACAAATCCCCAGGTCCTGATGAACTGTTTGCAAGGGTGTTAAAGGAATGTAAAGAGGAATTTAGCATACCTTTGGCTAATCTTTTTAACATAGCACTACAAACTTGCATAGTGCCTGATAAGTGGAAAATGGCAAATGTAATACCTATTTACAAGGCAGGTGACGGGTCCTTGGCTTCGAACTATAGACCAATATGCCTTACCTCCATAGTGGGAAAAATTATGGAATCAATAATTGCCGAAGCAATTCGTAGCCATCTTGACAGGCACAGATTGATTAATGATTCTCAACATGGTTTTACAATGGGGTGTTCCTGTCTTGTGAATTTACTAACTTTTTTCACTAAGGTGTTTGAGGAGGTAGATCATGGTAATGAATATGATATTGTGTATATGGGCTTCAGTAAGGCTTTCGATAGAGTTCCACACCAGAGGCTATTGAGGAAACTTAGGGCACACAGAATAGGAGAAATTTTTTCCTGGGTAGAGGCATGGCTGACAAATAGACAGCAGAGAGTTTGCATAAATGGGGAGAAATCAGAATGGGGGCACGTCACAAGCGGTGTTCCTCAGGGGTCAGTGTTGGGCCCGTTGTTGTTCACAATTTAAATAAATGACATAGATGAGGGAATAAATAGCGACATAAGCAAATTTGCTGATGACACCAAAATAGGCCGTCCAATTCATTCTAATGAGGACATTAGAGCACTCCAGGATGATTTGAATAGACTGACGCAATGGTCGGAGAAGTGGCAGATGCAGTTTAATATTGACAAATGCAAAGTTCTAAATGTTGGACATTTTAAATAACCATGCCACATATAAACAAAATAATGTAGATTTTAAAATACTACGATTGCAAAAAGGATTTAGGAGTTCTGGTTAGCAGTAAACCTAAAACCAAGACAACAGTGCATTAGTGTTCGCAATAAAGCTAACAGAATTTTTGGCTTCATATCTAGAAGTAAAAATAATAGAAGTCCGGGGTTGTTCTTCAATCTATATATCCTTGGTTAGGCCTCATTTGGGACTATGCTGCTCAGTTCTGGTCCCATATTACAGCATGGATTATAAATGCTCTGGAAAACGTACAAAGGAGGATGACAAAGATGATCCCATGTATCAGAAATCTTCCCTATGAGGATAGACTAAAGGGCCCCTGAATCTGCACTCTCTCGAAGGCGTAGAATTAGGGGGGATATGATCAAGGTGTATAAATGGGAAAAAAGGGAAAAAATAAAGGGGATGTAAAAAGTGTGCTGAAATTTCCAGCCAGGACAGGACTCACAGCAATGGTTTCAAGTTGGAAAAATTCAGATTCAGGAAGGATATAGGAAAGTATCTGGTTTGGTAATAGAGTTGTGAAGAGTGGAGCAAGCTCCCGAGTACAGTTATTAGAGGCTAAAACGTTGTGTAGTTTTAAAAATAGGTTAGAAAATACATGAGTGGGTGTGGGTGGGTGTAAGTGTACCTTACTAGCTTGTGCTGCTGGGTCTGGTACAGTGCTCCTCCTTGAGTGGGGCGTGACCAGACTGGGTGGGTCATTGGGATAATCCGGGGGGATGGGTCATTTGGATAATCCGGGGGGTGGGTCATTGGACTAAATCCGGGGGGGGGGGGGGACATGGACCTGCTCCGCATGGGTCAGTAGGCTTGTTGCAGTGTTCCTTCTTTCTTATGTTCTTATATAGCAGGTTAGGTTCCAGGCTACCGCCTTAAAGTGGAATGCCATTTTTTCGTTTATAAATGCATGTAAGTGCCAGACAACAAGTTTACACTAAGTTATATTAAGTTAATAATTGAAATAAGCATTAAAAACAAAATAAAAAGTAAAATACATACACAGCACACCCATTACTTAAAATATTTGTAGTCTTAATGTATGGTGTGAGGTGGCTCATATTTATTTGTAGGAAGTTAGGTATGGGAAGTATGGTGGCCAGCCAGGGCAACTTAACCTCCCACCCCCACCTGACACCACACCACCCACACATAATGTAAACAAACAGACGTGTTTGCTTTTGGTTGATGCACATTCATTCCCATGTCTGTGAATCTTATACATTTTATTTGTTATATGTTACATGTTCATATGTAGCGTGTTTATTGTATAATTTTGAAAAAAATATCATAGATGGATTAATGGAAATGTCTATATGTATTAATGTAATATAAGACATTTAATGCACTCAAGAGATTATTGTTATTAGTATGGCATCAAGAGTAGAGACTCTTAATGATTTTAATGTGTACCTGCACACCAGCACAGTCTGTAAGTACGTATATTAGGTACAGCTACACATAAGTATAATTATCAGAGTACTGTACATATAAAATATGCAATAACTTTAAAACACTTGAAATTTTGAAAAGTTTCCAGACATAATAGAATGTGCTCACAGAGAATGTCAACAAACTGGGTGGGGCGCACCATATTAGAAAGACGGGTTGCCGTAAAGTGAGTTTTGGTCATAATTTGAAATTGCCATATTAGCAGAATGACATAAGGTGAAATGCCATAAAGCGGGGCCCTACTGTAATCCTCAAATGCTTGAAGCTCGCTTCTATGACTTCTGATCATCGGTGAGAGTACAGCATGCAACAGACAAAGGTACTTATGGTGCACCATATAAACAATCATTACAAAAAATGAAAGAAAATCATAAAAGATTTTAAAAGTTTATTAAGATAATGACTTAAAATAAAGGATTGTCAGCAAGAAAGTTGATGCTCCTTCTGTTGGCAGCATCAAGGACTCCAGAAAAAGGATCTATGAATTAATAATGCACTTTTGTATACAATATTGACATTTATCAACTCTAAAGGGTATAGGGGTCACAGAACACCTGGGAAATGGGATGCATTCATGTTTAATCCAAGGAGAGGTTAAGTTCAGTTCCTTGGATCAAGAGCCCCCTCACTAGCATTAAGGCACCTCTCCTGAGGTATCAACCCTAAACAGATACTTGCATGTACTCCACAAGTTTTTCATATTTTATTCAGGGGAATCACTAAGCCCATTTAGGTCATAGAGCACCTACTCCACAGGTCTGCTTAGACACTTATGAAATTAAAAAAAATTATTATTACAAATACTGTACAGCATTAAAAACTTACCATTACAAGTAAATCACAAAGGCATGTGAATAATTTTGTCAAACTTTGTAGTTCTTTTGTTTTCAATTGTTGTACAAAATAAGCAGTTTCAAGCTTGTACAGAACTATATTCCCTGAATAAAAATGTTATTGTAATGCCTAAATTTAAACAGTACACTCTGAGAACGCTTTATTTTCCTTCACAACATTACACATGCTGATATATAACTTCCATCACAGAACATTCAAATGTCCTACATACTAGCAACTATACATATTAAGGAAGTTCATATTTGAATATTTTCTAACAGCATTCTAACCCTTCACAGATAAGGTCAACGAAAGGTTCCTAATCCAAGATACTGAACCTACTTCCCCCTGATGAATATGTGCACGCACATATATATTGTACATACATGCATACACAAACATAACATTAAATATGCTTTTATATATGGCAACCACTTTTCCATTATTCTTTGTAAGAAAATTTTTTTAACTCTTGCAAACTTTGTGAACCAATATTAATAATAAAAACAAATAATAATAATAATAATAATAATAATACAGCAATATCAATACTGTATGTATTATGATAATTGTAATTTTTATATTTTTATTTACATCGACTATCTCCCAGGAAAGGAAATATTCACCATTATTCACTTAATAGCTGTCTTGCCAGAAATGCACACCCATCACAATTATATTCATGGGGAAGCACTAAACCTCCAAGGAAATGAGAGGCAATCAGGTTTAATCAAAAAGAGAGGAAGGGTATCTTCAGTTCTTTGGATCAAACACCCTTGAGAATATCAAGATTCCCCCCCTTCCTTGACTGGGAGTGAATCAACAGAATTATTTTAAATTATAAATAGGAGGTACTCTAACAAGACAAAAAGCCTAGACGACATTCCATAAAACAGATTCACAATATCAAGACATCTATCTGTTTTAAGCTTAACAGGTTCAAGCTTCTTAAAATAATTAAACTTCAGGTGATTGATAAAGTTTTGAAAAACTTGAAAATCATAGCTTGTACAAAACCTAAGAACGTGAAAAGAAAAGATTTGGGAAAAAACGTAAACCTTCACTTGATTCATCTCTTACAGCTTTAGCACACTGTTCAGCCTGTAAAAGCCTTTCCTGAGCCAAGAGAAGGGGCATGCCACAATCCCTTGCTAAGTCTCCAGCTGATACTCCATCAACCTCATGACAATTCAGTACCTCAACAGTTGCCTCCACTACCTTCTCTTGATCAAGTCCAGTTATCTGTACTACCTGAACACCTGATTCAAATGTGTGAAGATTAAGTGAGAGGCCCAATTTTTTCATTACATGACATGCATGCATAACATCTTCTGGAGATAGCAACTGGAGTCCCCTAGCACGATTAATGCGGCAATAAACCTCTGAAAGCAGCATCACACCTCCTGCTTCTTTCACTGGGTCTTCTAAGGCCTGGGTAATTTCTTTAGCCAGATTATGATGATATTGTGTTTCTGAGCCAAAAGCTTCTCTTGTAACCGGGTCATCAATACCAAGACTTAGAAGATAAGATCTGAATTGTGTTGTATCATCTGCTGATACGTCTCCAGATCGCTCTTTAATTTTGTTTGAGATACTTTTTGAAAGAGACACCATATCCTTGGCAAGGCCCATTAGATTCTTCAGATCTTCAAAGGCATGACTTATATTCTGGTTGGTCTCCTCTTGTTTGGCCTGGATTGCACGTTCAATACCTAGAATGCCAGTGTGAATTGCCTTTCCTCCAGGCTGTTTTCCATAGTTACATGGAAGGGAAGGTGCTTTTTCCCATCCATGATTATCAATCGCTTTTTGTAGTACCTGGTGAAAACTACTATATCCACCATGTTTAAATGACAATTTTATAAAAGAATTTGAACTAGCAGCTACAGGACCTGCTGGTTGACTATGTGGTGGCTGAGCTAGGTGAAGCAATAATTTTGGACTTGAAGTAAAACTGCCTGCTTCTTCTTCAACTAATACTACAAGACTAAGGTGTAATCCTAATGAAGAAGACTGAGTTTCATGCCGCCAAAGTAGTCGGTGATTTGTTAAAGTTAGACGCCCATCATCATAGCCAGTTTTCTTGTCACCATCATACAGTCGAATTCCATTCACTGTTGTGCTAACCACTTCACCTGATGTTAAGCTGGAGTTGCACCAATACCATCGATCCATTGCTGAGTTTCCTATTGAGTTATTTTCTGCATGTGCTTAATAGCAATTACAGTACTACACAAATCCCTAATTCTTTCTACCAAAATAATCCAGAAGTGACAACCCTTCTGACATATGGTTCTCCTGCCACCTCCTGAAAAAGGGAAAAAATAAATAAATCAGAATTTGCTAAAGATGAAATAAATGGGTTCCAGCTTCAGTTGATGTGGCAGGAAACCAACAGTCTTTCTAGCAAAGTAACAGAATTTAAGATAAACTCAAAATAACTATTTGGCACATATATAGTGATAAAACATCAACGAACTTGCTACGAGTCTCAGCATTTTAAACAGTTTTATTCAGCCTGTTAGCAGGAATGTTTTTCATAAGTTGTACAACTTTACCTGTACTGTAACAGAATGAGAGGAAGTGTCTTCCTACTGTATAAAGAAGGTAGAATAATTTTAATTTTTTTTTAACATGGCCGTTTCCCACTGAAGCAGGGTAACCCAAAAAGAAAGAAAACCCCAAAAAGAAAGAAAAAACTTTCATCATCATTCAACACTCTCAGCATCATTCATACATAATCACTGTCATTGCAGAGGCACTCAAACTTCTGCTCCATTTATTTTTACTACCTGGTCAGTTCCTACAAAGGTAGGGTGACTAAAAAATTAAACATTCACTATCATTTCCTAAACAGCTCTTGCTAGAAGTGTGCATATGTCAAAATTCAAATGACTCTCCAAACTGCAGAATTCCCACCCTTCCAGTGTGCAGACACTATATACAGTGGACCCCCGCATAACGATGGCATCACATAGCGATTTTTCCGCATACCGCTTACTTTTATCGCAAAATTTTTGCCGCGCATACCGATTAAAAACCCGCTCACCGATTTTCGTCCGAGACGCGTCCAATGTGCCCTCACATGTGCCGCCCGTCCCATTGTTTACCAGCCAGCCTCCGCGGTAACATCCAAGCATACACTCGGAATATTTCGTATTATTACAGTGTTTTCGGTGCTGTTTCTGGAAAATAAGTGACCATGGGCCCCAAGAAAGCTTCTAGTGCCAACCCTGTGGTAAAAAGGGTGAGAATTAGTATGGAAATTAAGAAAGATTTTGAAGGGTTTGGGGCTAACCCTGAGAAGCCTATGCCAGTTGTGGAATCCATTGTGCCTACTTCAAAGATTAAGGAAATGTGTGCACAGTGGGTTGAACTGCAAACCTTTATAGATGAAAATCACCCTGACACAGCTGTTGCAAGCCGTGCTGGTGACTATTTCAATGACAATGTTGTGGCCCATTTTAGACAAATCGTAAAGGAACGGGAGGTACAGAGCTCTATGGACAGATTTGTTGTGCGACAGAGGTCCAGTGACTCTCAAGCTGGTCCTAGTGGCATTAAAAGAAGAAGGGAAGTAACCCCGGAAAAGGACTTGCTACCTCAAGTCGTAATGGAAGGGGATTCCCCTTCTAAACAGTAAGAAGATAATGCTCTCCCTCCTCCCATCCCATCAATCATCACCAGATCTTCAATAAAAGTAAGTGTCATGTAATTGTGCATGCCTTTTTCAGTTTGTGTGTATTAAAATTAACATTTCATGTGGTAAAAAAAAATTTTTTTTCATACTTTTGGGCGTCTTGCACGGATTAATTTTATTTCCATTATTTCTTATGGGGAAAATTCATTCGCATAACGATTATTTCGCATAACAATTATCCCTCTTGCACGGATTAAAATCGTTAACCGGGGGTCCACTGTACTTTCCAACCCGAGGACTCAAGTCTGGCTAACTAGTTTTCCCTGAATCCCTTTGTAAGTTACCCTGATCATGCTCCAACAGCATGTCAAACCTTAAAATAACTTCTCTCCTCTCACCCCAATCTAATATGCTCTCACACACCTGCTGAATCCTCAAGCCTTAAAACGTCTTTCGCACTTTCCCTCCAACTCTTCCTGGTATGATTCCTATTCCTTTTTCCTTCTACCCTGGGTTTACACAACCATACTCTGGTTCATTCCCCTTTTCAGTCTCCATAGAAAACTTCTTTCCACAGATGACTTTACACACCACATACTTTTTTCCCTTCATCTATTCTATGGCTCACCTTATTTTTCATAGCCCTATTTGCTGACATGTCCACTCTCAGATATCTAAATACATTTACTTCCTCAAATCATGTATCCAATTTCTCTTTGCCTAAACATTTTTGTTACTCTCATCACCTTACTCTGTTTTATGTATGCCTTTAATTTCATTATTTTACAATCTCAAACTCCTCCACCAACCTTTGCAACTTCTTTTTAGTCTCTCCCAAATGAACTGTATCATTGGCTATGAGCCGCTATGACAAATCCAACTCATCAGATTCATTATCTCTTAATCCCACAATCTCCCCAACATCCTAGCATTCACATGTCTTACAATCCCATCTGTTAATATATTAAACAACAGTAACATCCCTAAGGTCTAGTTTTTAAAAGAAAATATTACTCTTCTCTCTTACATACTCTAACCTGAGCTTCACTCTGCTTAAAAACTTTTAATGCTTTTAGTAACCTACTAACTATTCCATCCATTTTCAACATCTGCCACATTGCTTCTCTATCCACTCTATTACAGTGGTACCTCAAGTTATGAACTTAATTCGTTCCAGAGGGCTGTTTGAGTACCGATACTGAACGAATCTGTTCCCATAAGGAATAATGTAAATTAGATTAGTCCGTTTCAGACCCCCAAAAATACACTTAGAAAATTATTTATTATTATAATCAAAAAGAAGCGCTAAGCCACAAGGACTATAAAGCTACACTTAGAAAAGCACTTACAAAAACACACTTACATAATTGTCTGAGTTGGGAGCTGTTCAAAACTTGAGGTACCACTGTATATACTTTTTTTTTTAATCCACTTTGTCTAAACCTTTGCGATCCTACTTTGTCATTACCCCTAACTCTTTCAATAATAATTCTACTGTACACTTTATCTGGTACACTTAACAGCCTTATGCTCTGTAATTATCCTCTGTACAAAGGAACTATGCATGCTCTCTGCAAATCCTTGTGTACCTCCCCTGCTTTCATGCATATACTGTATTAAACAAATACACCATTCATGACAAGCATGGTTTTCCCACTCAAATTCACTTTGATATGGGTTATGTTTGTCATGTTTTTCCATAATATCAAGTTGGCATATCACCCTTTCCAAGACTTTTATGATGTATGATATTAGTGATACTGGTTTTCATTTTTTTGCCAATGCTCTACTATCTCCTTTGTGCAGAGGATATATGTCTCTATTTTATAAGGCATCTAGAAACCATACCCCTGGCCGGGATTGAACCCGCGGTCATAGAGTCTCAAAACTCCAGCCCGTCGCGTTAGCCACTAGACCAGCTAGCCACAATAAGATTCATCCAACTAGGTATATTTCTACACCATAGGAAGGCTAGCACAGGCACCACTGTGACCACAAATGCAAGTTTTTACAGACAAATCTCCAGCTAGCGTGGCCGTGACAAACTCTAGCTCAAGTCCCTTCACTGCCGTCAACATGACTCAAGAAATCGTAATGACACGATTGCAAACAAACCATACCCCCGGCCGGGATTGAACCCGCGGTCATAGAGTCTCAAAACTCCAGCCCGTTGCGTTAGCCACTAGACCAGCTAGCCACAATAAGATTCATCCAACTAGGTATATTTCTACACCAGTGGTGTAGAAATATACCTTCCTATGGTGTAGAAATATACCTAGTTGGATGAATCTTATTGTGGCTAGCTGGTCTAGTGGCTAACGCGACGGGCTGGAGTTTTGAGACTCTATGACCGCAGGTTCAATCCCGGCTAGGGGTATGGTTTGTTTGCAATCGTGTCATTACGATTTCTTGAGTCAAGGCATCTAGGATTTCACCTAGATTTAATTTCTTTCTCCAAAGAATAATGAGTACATACTCATGCTAATGGTAACGTGCACTTATTTATAAAGTTCCAAGAATCTGGCTCAGGTGCTGTATGTGTGTGGGCATATTATTTCTTTTTCGAATTCTGAAGGATTTATGCTTGTATCAGGTGCTATACTATATGATTTGCCAGGTGGGAAGAGGTACTGCACTGAAGAAAGTGTCTGGATCATCGATTCTCTAAGTCATTTTTGTAACTGTTGAACATTCTCCAAGGATTTTCCTCATTTCATTTACTTCACCTGTGAATGAACCTACCGTGATAAATAAATAAAGAAATTTGGTAATAGGTAATACGTATTTAACCCTTAAATGGTCCAAACGTATATACAGTGGACCCCCGCATAACGGACGCCTTGCATAGCGGACAATCCGCATAGCGGACGCTTTGATCGCTAAAATTTTGCCCCGCATAGTGGACAAAAACCCGCTCAGCGGCCTTCGTCCGAGACGCGTCCAATGTGCGCCCTCAGCCAGCCTCACATGTGCCGCCTGTGCCATTGTTTACCAGCCAGCCTCCGCGGTAACATCCAAGCATACACTCGGAATATTTCGTATTATTACAGTGTTTTTCGGTGCTGTTTCTGGAAAATAAGTGACCAGGGGCCCCCAAGAAAGCTTCTAGTTCCACCCTACAGCAATAAAGGGTTAGGATTCCTATTGAAATGAAGAAAGAGATCATTGATAAGTATGAAAGTGGAGTGCGTATCACCGACCTGGTCAGGTTGTACAAGAAACCCAAATCAACCATCTCTTCTATTGTGGGAAAGAAAACGGCAATCAAGGAAGCTGTTCTTGCAAGGTTTAACTGTGTTTTCGAAAAAAAGATCGCAAGTGATGGAGATGTTGAGAGACTCTTATTGGTGTGGAAAAATGAAAAACAGCTAGCAGGGGGATAGCGTCTCTCAAGCGATCATATGGGGAAAAGGCTAGGAAGTTGCATGAGGATTTAATTAAAAAAGGCCTGCAACTAGTGATGATGTGAGTGAATTTAAGGGCCCAGCAAAGGTTGGTTTGAGAGATTTAAGAAGCGTAGTGGCATACATAGTGTGATACGGCATGGTGAGGCTGCCAGTTCGGACCACAAAGCGGCTGAAAAATATGTGCATGAATTTTCAAGGAGTACATAGAAACTGAAGGACTGAAACTGAAAAAGTGTTTAATTGTGATGAAACAGGCCTGTT